ACATTACTTGTTGTTGCATTGATCGATAGTTGTTGCATACTAATATATGCATTGCAATTTCAGAATATTCATATTCATAGACAACAAATGTAACTTTACAGCCAAAAATTTAGGAGTTGGTGTTGCAGCCAAAGTATCATGAGCTTCTACCAATATCTTTGCCAGAGTACTCTCCATTAACATAAGATGTAGCTGCTGTTGTAACATCCAATCCACTGCTACCGCCAATTGATGTGATAAGTGCTGACAAACCTCCACCGGCACTGCCACCTGCAGCCATCCCTAATCCTAGAAAATCAAGAGTTGTTTGCTTAGGACCGAACATCGACGGAGTCCCCAACATCAATTCCTTTAGTCCAGATTCACTGTCACAAGGAAGACCTAGTCCGAGTCCCGCGTGAACTAAGCCAGCACTCTCCTGTTCCACTTGTCCCAGACCCCAATGAAGGCTATCTTGCTGACCCGTTGAAGTGGAAGCGGAGGACGACACGATTCCAAGCCCTCGAAGCAAAGAGGCATTTGTTGCTGCAGCGCCCATTTGAGCAGCTTTCTGAAGTAATGCAGTGGCAGACATAGCTGGTGGCTGATGTGTAGGTACATATTGGCGGCACTCCTGGCCACCTGTCCCGAAAATGGATGATCCCTGATTGGTCGAGAGGCAAAGGGATATGGCCTCGGACGATGGAGGAGTTGAGAAATCAGTAGGGCGAGCATCTGGACATCCCATGGACCTAATTAAATCAGTGAATGCTGGAGTTTGAGACTGTAGACTCGTAGAAGCTGAAGCTGTTGAAGAAGCAAACAAACTTGCAAACACACCGCTGCTAGTAGCGGGACAACCATTGCTTGTTGAGCTAGTACTGCTGCTACTACCACTCGCATTTAAAGTAGTAGTAGCATTTATAGTAGTAGCATTTAAAGTAGTAGTAGCAACGACAACCGGTTGTGTCTCCTCTACGATTTGAGGCGGAATTTCTAGTAAATCTGCACAAACCAAAATATAGACTAAAAAAAAGCAAAGCAAACAAAGCATAAACAAAGCAACGGCGTTATTTAAAATTATAATTATCACTAATACGAAAAAGAATGAACAAAAGAAGCCACTCATAACACACAGACAGGGAAAGTTGGTTCCTTTCTTTTATGTTAAACTAAAGTGCTGAACTAAAGTGAAGAACAAAAACAATAGTTTTTCCTATCCTTAGAAAACAAATCTTCTTTCTTTTATTGCTTTTGAGATCTTTGTAGTTTTTTTTGTCAACCAATATACATAATGTTCTATCAAACAATCTCAAAAACACCTTTTTAAGTGATTAATTTTCATTACTTAATTAGCCTCCCCGAATCTCAGATCACTTGATCCTCTTCTCACTAACACAACACAAGTCACAACAAAAAACAATAGCAGACAAAAATACTAAACACCAAGATCACATATACAAACAACAGCACCCCAAAAAAACAAAACTTTGAATTTGATATCAAGTTTTAACCACATCAAACAAGACAAAAGAATTACTTTTTTCCTGATTCAATAAAAAAATTTACCTAGCTTCTGAGTCTCCAAAGCAGAGGACACACCACTATTTGACTGAGGAGTGGTAGTCACCACCGGCAACGGAGGAGGAGGAGGCGGTTGAGGCAACGAATCTCCAGTCAAAACCTTCGAATCAGATTCTGAACTAGCTTTCACAACCGGTTGAGTCTGAGATTTCGCATTTTCCTCTGCCAACGCATCACAAAAAGCTCTATGCGTTATGAAACTATCCCTCCTTCAAAATCAGAAACAAAATAAACAAATTTAAAAAAAGAAACCCAATTTTTTATTAAAAAAAAGAAACAGAATCCAAAATTGAAATTAACAAAAGAACCTGGAAAAAACGGTTCCACAATCGCATTTATACTCTCTAGAACCACAAACTTTAGAGTGAGCTTTCCAATCCGATTGAACAGCATATTTCTTAGAACACTTATCGCATTTCCACTTCTTCTCACCGTGTTTTCTACAAAAGTGCTTTTTAATCCCCGTTAGATCGCCTAAAGCTCTAGAAGGATCATGATGAACACAAGTCGGTTCAGGACAAACATAAACCCTTTTCCTAACTTCCTTACTCGACCTCTGCCTCAGTTTCCATGGCAGATTATGACCTCTCCTATGGAGTTGAAGATTCTGATCCCTCTGAAAACCTTTGTTGCATATTTCACACACAAATCTATTCGTAGCTAACAGAGTCGTCGGAGATAAAGCAATCACCTCTGCTTCCGGATCTTCACAAAATTAAAAAAACAATAATAATAACTATTATAAATTATATTAATTAATCAATAATTAAACAAAATGAAACTATAAATATTTAAGTATTATACCTGGCATTCCTGGGAGGTTTCGTTTTTTCTTAGTGGGTTTTGGAGGGGTTGTTGTTTGGTTGTTATTATTGTTACCAGAGGAAGAGATGCTGGCTTCTCCTGAAGGTGTAGAAACATTGTCTAAATCAACCATCGGAACTAAACCTAGCTATAGGTGAAAAGCTTGAACAACAATCTTTGTACAAAGAGGGAAAAATCTTAGATGCATTAACACACACAATCTCTCTCACAAAGAAACTTTTTGATTTTTTTTAGGGTTTCTATTTTTTTTTTCTTCTCAGCTTTTGTTTTGTTTTGTTTTTCTCTTTATCTTTATCTATATCCACCGGTCAACCTGCTAAGGTTTTATTTTTTTTAATTTTTTTAAATTTATTTATTTTACGTTACCTCGTTACGCTCATTTACCCACACCAACTACCACAACTCCAATAATGCTTCTTCTCTCTCTATCTTTCTCTCTCTTTAATCTTTGGAATCAAAAACCCGTTGACAAATAACACCTTTTCCGACTAAACTCTCTTTAAGTTCACACGTCTTAAATTAAATAGTTTGTAAATGAAAATTAGGGGGTGATTATTAGTGTTAATTTTGTGGACTGGGTCGTGGAGAAAAATGGAAGGGTTTTGTGGTGTCTAAATTTGTATGCTCCACTTGTCGAGGCAGAAGGTACAGTGAAGAAAGGACGAGTGATTAATAAGGGGAGTTTGTCGTTTAGCGCGGTGAGTCTTTGTATTGGTTTGAATCCGTATTTCTGTAGAAACCGACAAAGACAGACAGACACCACCACCATTATAGACTGTAGTACTCATTTAGTGTATCCTACAAAGTAAATATGAGTTTTTCTTTTGATGGAAAAGTAAATGAGAATGTTAGTGATGTGGTTTTCATCAAATTTAGAATTACAAAATTATCTAAGCTAGAGATAAGTATAATGGATTTAATTTTGTTGATTTATTTTTTAAAAATGGATTTAATTTTGTTGATTTATTTTTTAAAAATGGATATAATTTTGTTGATTTATTTTTAAAAAATTTAATTTAATTTTGCTGATTTATTAAAAATTGGATTTAATTTTTTTTATTTATTTTTAAAAATTTTAATTTAATTTTTCTGATTTATTAAAAATTGGATTTAATTTTTTTTATTTATTTTTGAAAAATAGATTTAATTTTGTTGATTTATTTTTTAAAAATTAGATTTTATTTTGTTGATTTATTTAAGAACTAGATTTAATTTTGTTTTTTTTTTATTAAAAGGGCCAAAAACTGAGATTACAAGGTGGGGCTGTCAAAATTTGTTTGGCCCGTGATACTATTTGGACATTTTTCTAATTGGATTCACAATTCAAATGAAATTTCGCCACATTTCCAAAGAGATGCACTACTTTATTTTCATTTTTTTTCTTAAAAAAAACGCGAAAATATTTGAGCTTTAATTTTATTTTTATTGTCTTTTATGTAGTTGTAATGAGATTGACTTTGAATCTCTTTATCTTTTTAGTGCATATGAAAAATGCTCTCGTCTTGATGAGATATCTAATCCACCTTATTGTGAGACGAAATTTCCTTTTCCCTTCCTATATCAAGTAAATTCATAAACTTGGTTATTCCTTTGTAGTTGTGGTTATTCTCATTCTCATGATTATTTCTTTCGCTCAGATGACACTTATTATTAGCACTTTTGAAATCAGCAATGCTCTGTTGAATCCATTTGAGAATGGTCTCCACTATTGTACTTTTACTGTCAAAAATTAAGTTGTTTAGGTTTATTATGTAAAAACTCAAGGTTGTTTTTAGTTGAAATCTCAATAGAAAACTCTTTAAGAAATGAGTAAGTTAAGTGGTTAAGTTAAACTTGTATAAATATATGTTGTGCTCTTTATATTCCTTATCTTATTTACTTTTAGTATTTTACTTTCTTTTCATTGTTATTTCTCAGTTTGTTGGTTTATTGTTGGTCCTTTTGGAGTTGGCTGTTTTATGCAAAACAACATGAAGTTTGCTCAATCTGGTTCTAGTGTAGCTCAAGTTGGTTCTGGTGTAGAAGAGACACATGTTGAACAACATGTGCGAACATATGAGCTGCAACATCTGGTCTTTTGGAAACTAACATATGGAAATTACAGTTTGTTCAGATTTTATCTATCCAAGACTCTCTCCACAATAGAATATTTACAAGTCAATGAGAAGAGTTGATTGGGAAGTTCTGGTACAATATGTTAAACTCCATGTTCCAGCATGTGAGGTACAACATCTGGCCTTAACAGCAGGTCATGTACGATGTTGTTTAATGCGGATTTTCTAACTGGTTTTTAATCAGATTTGATGCACTACTTTTAGCAATGTTTAGTTGATTTCTTTGACAATTGAGGTATTTAAATCAGATTTAAATGTGATTTAAATTTGAATTTAAAATATAATAAATCATACATTATGTTGGAGAGATTTGAGAAGCAAATCATATCCAATTAATTCAACTATTTTGTGACGAATTAAATGCAGATCCACAAGGAGAAAAAACTCAGAAGACATTGCTATGTAAGGAGACTCATTCTTCATTATTTAACAAGAGTTTTTATGCGCAATAATTAGGTTCTTTGTGCTAGGATTTGAGTCTTTTATTTCTTGTACTCCAAGCTAATGCCATAATTGGATTAGTGTGGAAACTACTATTATACACCTCTATGTTTCAGTAATTTGGCATAAAAGGTTTGTCTTAGTTGAGTTGTAATATTCATCATTGGTTATTGAATTGTAAACACCAATCACATGTTATCTGATTGAGAAGAAAGTGAGTAGATTCTTATATTTAGGAGGACTTCTTAAATAAAAAGTCATTAGGATTATGAAGAGGCTTTAAACAAGATTAGGTTTGTTGGTTCTTGTAATACTAAGTGTACTAATTCAAAGTAGTGAATTTCTTTTCTAGGGTAGAGTGTCCTCCAGACATAGGTGTGGTTTCATCGAACTGGGTTACCAATCTTTTGTGTTATTTTACTACCTTTTATACTGTTTTATTGTTACCTTATTAATTTCATTCTAGTTTAAGAAGTTAGACAAGTTGTCTCAACATTTGGTCCAACATTTGTCCCCTGTGGAACAAAATTTCATTTATATTAACATAAACATTTTCAAAATCAAAGATTTTTATAAATTGTTTTCGAATTTCGAATCTCATAATTCACTCCTCTCCTTTTTATATTTGGAGTCACTTAATTAACAAGTGGCATCAGATTCTAACTCCTATTATAAGACTAATAGTTCAAAGAGGTTGGAATGACTTCAAACGATTCATTAAATAGAGATTCATCATTTGATGAATAATGGTATGTTGTGTGGAAAGTGAATATAAGAATCTTCGTATAACGGATTGTTATGGTATTTAGAAGGCTATTAAACATCGTCATTTTATTTCCACACATCAAGTAAATGGTGTTGTGGAAAACAATGATAAAGAAATATGGACCATAGAGGACAAGAAAAAAGTACGATACAATTTGAAAGAAAAGTCTAGTTAAGAATGAAGAAGAAGACAAAAAGAAGAAAATTTTTGCTTTAAAAGTTACAAATATTAAACAATCAAGTCAAAAGATGAAGACTTCCAAAGTTAAAGTGATAAAGACATGGACCTCATGTTTTGAAAATTCAAAGAATTCCTAAGGTTACAAAAAACAAACTCCAAAGCTCTAGAAACAAATTAAAGAAAAATCAACCTTCAATCCAACTTGCTTCAAATGTAGAAATAAATCTCACATAAATCCAAAATGTTTGCAAAATCAAAGGAAAACTAAAAGGTATTGTTCAGTTATGGAACTAGATATTAATGTAGAAGTAATGGTGATGGTGGGTCACAGCTTCTGACGCAATGGAGTGGGGGAACCTACAAGACTAGAAATCCAACGCTCAAGTTAGTATATGATTGAGTAGAATTAAATGAAATTTAGTTTGAAACATGTTACCTTGATTTGGTGTCTTCTCTCTCTCTCTCTCTCTCTCTCTCTCTCTCTCTCTCTCTCTCTCTCTCTCACACACACACACACACACACACACACACACACACACACACTCTCTCTCTCTCTTTGTGTGTGTGTGTGTGTGTATGTGTGTGTATATATATACAGAGAGAGAAAGAGGAAGGGAGGAAAATAATGAACTTGTTATTTATTAAGAGTGAAATGTAGAGAACCGTTGGATGAACTTGTAGTTGAGATCTCTCGTGATCATTAGGATGATAATACTCATGTGCTAAGAAGATTTTGGAAAGAGTGGGCCACTTTCTCGGTGGTCAATGCGGTTAGCCCAGAATAGTTTCCCCTCGAGATCTCTCTAATGTATAAGGATGTGGAGACTATGTTGTCTCAGCTTCGAAAGTCGACCACCCCTTGATCACCTTGGGATAAGCGAAGGAAATATGCTTTAATTCCTTTACATAATCATGCATTTAATGCACCACACTTCAAATGTTTTTTTGGGTGTATCACTACTACGACTCTTGTGGAACCGAAATACTTAAGTGTTGTGTACGAGTGATTAGATGTGTTTGGTGAAGTCTCTTTGTATGCTACAATATAGTTTCCTTTCGAAGGGTCGGTGGCATTTCCTCTTGAATAATTTTTCCAAGTCTAGCAGTTACCTTCTTCTTTAGCGTTTTGTTTCCTAACAACAGTAAAGTTAATGTAACATGGGCAAGAAATCATAGAAAAGCACTCACAAGTCCCATAAGGATAATCCATCTTCTTAAGTGGGTCTTGTTTACTCTTCTACCATTTTTTATTTCTCTAAAGCAAACAACTTTGTTGAAGCATTTATAGAAGTTGGTCCACTTTTCTACTGAGGAATCTTGAGTCTCTCTAAGGATGAAAGAATATGCGACAAATATGGTAATTGCATCATTTCCTTCTATGAATGTGTTTTCTCTATCATGGGCCTTCACCTTCCCTTTATTCATTTGAGGTAAAGGTTTTGAAACACCTGGAAATGGCTCATTCGCAACTTCATCCTACAAGCTAGGCGTACGTGAAGGTATAATAGTATTGATGCAAATATTTGACTGGAGAGTCTTCAGTGGTCCTTTTCTTTCATCTTTTCAGATACCTCCCTGACAAGGCAACTCGGACAAGGGATAGAGGATTAA